GCTGACGTATTCATCGGGCCGCCGCTGTGCCAAAGCCGCCGCCACCCTATTCGTCGCTCGCCTATTCATCGGGCCGCCGCTGTGCCAAGCTGCCGCCACTCTATTCGTCGCTCGCCTATTCATCGGGCCGCCGCTGTGCCAAGCTGCCACCACTGCTACCCGTTTATTAACATGTCGACTGAACTTTGTGATTTAGTGTTCTTCGTAAAAAGTTCTGAACGTGATTTTATTGTGTTTAGTGTAGTGTTTAGTGTTATTTAAGGAAATAAATTTATAACGTTTTAAGAAAATATTTTTGCTTCGCTCTCTCTCTCTCTTTATGTCCTAACAAATAAATTTTTGTGACGACTCTGGCCCCCGCTGAACCTACCCCAGCTTCAAAGTGAAAACACGTCGTCACAATGGCGCCCGAGCAGGGACTATAAAAGAGAGAAAGAATAAATAAATGAGTGAACAATAATTAGACAAATACAGATGAAATCCCAGTGAAAAAAAAAAACAGTTAAAAAAAAAAAAAAAAAAACAAGTAAAAAAAAAAAAAAAAAAAAAAAAAAAAAAAAAAAAAAAAAAAAAAAAAAAAAAAAAATGTCAAACGAAAAGACAATGTTGAAGGTCTCCTGGGCCTATATGCTAAAGCAAGAAGACTTGGTAACATATCTTACTGAATTCAATCTTGATCCAGTTGGAAAAGTGGACGATCTCCGAAAAAGATGGGCTAAATTTCTCCACCACGACCATGAAGCCGATGTATACAGACGGCTTATAGAGTTGCAGAACAAACATGAAAGTACCAGTCCGACCAAATCGCCGACATTGCGAGCCGTCACAAAACAACCCCTTATAACCGTAACACCGTGTGGAGCAGAAGCAATAGTATTATCCCCAATAAAAACAGAGTACGCCCTTCCCCACATTTCCGCGGAAAGGTCACATGGAGAGTCAAGCACAGGGGTAACAAACGATCAAAAAGTACAGAAGCTGTCGCCAACAAACCCCGAATATGGATTTCAAAAAGATTCTCCGCCCAAGCCATCCAATAATTCGTCGTTACTCGTAATTCTCGACCAAATCCGAAAATGGAATATTACTTTTGAAAATGGAATGGACCCTATTGGATTCGTAGAACGTGTAGAAGAAATGGCTGAAATGTACATCGTGGAATTGAATCAAATAATTAAAGTAATGCCAGAGTTGTTACGAGGTAAAGCTTTAATCTGGCTAAGGAACAACAACCGACACTGGACTACCTGGAACGAATTTAAGAGTGATTTTCTGAAATTCTTTTTGCCACCGAGATACTTTGAGAAATTGGAGGATGAAATTAGGAGAAGGATACAGCGTAATAAGGAGCCGTTTAAGGAATATGTACTCTCTATACAGCATCTTATGCAGCACACCAATATGACCGAAGAACAAAAATTGGAACGAATTTTTAGAAACGCGCATTCGGATTATCAATGGTACATTCGCCGTAAAGACTTTACCACACTTTCGGAATTGATCTCCTTGGCAGACGAACTCGAAAGCATACCAAATAATTCTCGGTCAGAACAGCCTCGAAATCAACAAAACTATAATCGACGTGCGGACAACTCTAGAAATAACCTGTATTGCACCAATCAAGGTGACCAAGTGCTAAACGAAAGCTCATCCAATCCAGAAACGCAGCAGGATGAACCCCCGGCAAAGAAGAGTAACCAGAATATTACATCATTGCAATGTGAAGAATATCGCCTTACTGCAACTGTCTTAATAGAGGGGAAAGCTATTAAAGCAACTGTCGACACTGGTGCCACTAGCTGTTTTATAAAAAGAGAATTTGCGAAAAAAATCAAGAAAAGGTTTACTTATTCACGGCATGAGGCAAATGTTATCCTCGCAGACGGCACCACGGTGAACATCACAAGATCAACAGTGTTACCTGTTACATTTGGAAACCAAAGCTCAGATGTTACATTTCTCATCATGCCGCAATTCAAGGAAAACATCATATTGGGATTGGAATTTCTAAAACAGTTCCACACGACCATTCACTGCGCCGGTATAAGTGTCAAATTAAGTAAGCCAACCACATCAACGGAGCATTGTACCGTGGCTATAGGAGAGGAAACCCCATCAAAAGAGGTAATAGATACAATGACAGCTACGAATAGTGTATCCCCCAGAGCTAAATTCTTAAACGATGAATTGAGTAAAACGCAATGTGAGATCGTTGAAAATTTTCTGGCACAGGAACTCCCTAAGTTCCAACAATTAAATGGCCTATCGTCAATAGCTGAACATAAGATTGTAATGACCGACGATCGACCCATTAAATTAAGATATGCTCCGCGAAATCCTGCAATGCAAGCCGTGATTAATGCCGAAGTGAGAAAGCTCGAAGAACGAGGATGTATAGAGCCGTCTACAAGCCCATACTGTTTCCCCATCACATTAGTCAGAAAGAAAAATGGGAATTGGAGAACTTGTATGGATTTTCGCCAATTGAATAAACGTTCTGTTCCAGATGCCTACCCTTTACCCCGCATCGACACAATACTGAATCGACTACGGGATGCCAAATACGTGAGTAGCCTGGACCTTAAAGACGGATATTGGCAAATACCTATGGCGAAGGAGAGCAGAAAATACACGGCCTTTGCGGTAGCTGGTAAAGGTCTATATCAGTGGAAAGTGATGCCTTTCGGTTTGCATTCAGCACCGGCAACCTTCCAACGGGCATTAGATAGTGTGATTGGGCCTGAAATGGACCCCCACGCTTTTGCATACCTTGACGATATCATCGTCATTGGAAAAACGTTTGAGGAACACTTGCGGAACTTGAGAGAAGTGTTCAGAAGATTGCGATCAGCTAACCTGAGAATAAACATTGAGAAATGCGAATTTTTCAGAAAAGAAACGAAGTATTTAGGCCATGTTGTGAGTAGCGAGGGAATAAAGACGGATCCAGATAAAGTTGCCGCAATAGTGGAAATGAAACCTCCAACATCGGTAAAGGAGGTACGAAGATTTCTTGGAGTAGCATCTTGGTACCGAAGATTTGTCCCACAGTTTGCAACAATTTCACAACCATTGACTAGTCTTCTTAAAAAGGGAAAACATTGGAAATGGGGTCCCGAACAACAAGAAGCATTCTCAGACCTAAAAGCAAAGTTAACTGAAGCTCCCGTTCTGGCTTGTCCGGATTTCACAAAGACGTTCATATTGCAAACTGATGCCAGCAACTATGGCCTTGGAGCAGTTCTAACACAGGAGTTAGATAACGTGGAACGTGTCATAGCCTACGCCAGCAGACATTTAAAACAGGCTGAAAAGAACTACTCAGCGACTGAAAAGGAATGTCTAGCCATACTGTGGGGCATTAGACACATGAGACCCTATTTAGAGGGTTACCAGTTTATAGTTATTACCGATCATTTGGCCCTAAAATGGTTAAATTCTATTGAAAGCCCTACAGGTCGACTCGCACGTTGGGCTCTCGAGCTACAGCAATATAATTTTTTGATCAGATACCGTAGAGGAAAACAGAACGTTGTGGCAGATGCGCTTTCGAGAACACCTTTGGAAACGTTAGACCTAGCCACAGTAAAATATGACACCAGTCCGTGCCCATGGCTAGAAAAGTTGAAGGAAACCATAACCAAGAATCCGAAGAAGTATCCAGACTATACAATCATTGAGGGAAATGTTTATCGACATTTTCCCAAGCAAATAAACGATGAAGATTGCACACCATGGAAGCTGTGTGTGCCCACCGGATCAAGGATTCAGGTCCTTAGAGAAAATCATGACAGTGTCACCGGAGGTCATTTGGGAGTGCGAAAGACTAGCAACAAGGTGGCGAACCGATATTTTTGGCCTGGTATGTTCCAGGACATCAAACGTTATGTCCAGCAGTGCGAATGTTGCCAAAAATATAAAGTCAGCCAACAGAAACCAGCAGGGGAAATGTTGATAAGAATCCCGGAGGAACCATGGGCCACTATTTGTGCGGACTTCGTAGGACCCCTACCGCGATCTAAGCACGGTAACTCAATGCTACTCGTTATTATGGATAGATTCTCAAAATGGACGGAGTTGGTTCCATTGCGGAAGGCTACGACAGAGGGATTAATAAAAGCATGCAGAGAAAGAATTATTTCTAGATATGGGGTTCCAAAAATATTGATAACCGATAACGGAACCCAATTCACTAGCAACCAATTCGAAAAATTCCTAGCAGAAATGGGTATAAAGCATCAACTTACGGCTCCTTACACCCCGCAAGAGAACCCTACTGAAAGGACAAATCGGACAGTGAAAACAATGATAGCACAAGTTTCGAAACAACATAATACATGGGACGATATGCTGCCCGAAATAATGTTAGCCATAAACACTAGTGCATCAGAATCCACTGGATATTCGCCGGCATACCTGACACAAGGAAGAGAACCGCGGCTGCCCCAGGCATTATATGATCAGCTCACAACAGGAACTGGTGCTAGAATAGTCTTACCAGAAGACCGTGCCCAGGAGTTGAAAGAAATATTTAAGATAGTGCGTCGAAACTTGGCAAAAGCATCTCAAAACCAGCGGAGACAGTACAACCTTAGACGACGAGTTTGGAAACCAAAGATTGGGGAGCAAGTTCTAGTTCGTCTACATCCTCAGTCGAAGGCCGTCGAAAATTTCGCCGCCAAACTAGCGCCCAAATACGGAGGGCCGTTTGTCGTACAAAAATTCCAATCTCCAGTAATCGTTGTAGTCCGAGGAAAAGACAACATCACCCGCGTCGCGCACTTAAGTGAAATTAAGCCTTTTTATGAAGAACAAAATTAAATTGTAGACATAGAAGTAGAATGTTGATTGTAGTTCCACTTACGTTTATGTGATGCCATTTCATTATAATTTCTTATTTTATTTTTAGACATTAAATTGACAATACCCAAACTAATCAGTGTCCTAATATAAGCCCATACTTCAAAGACCATCGCAATTCTCAAAATTTCAACATCACGATGGAGCAAGATAGCCCCAACACGAAAAAATTCAAACGGGCGAAGGAGGTTCCTATTTCATCCTCACATGCTTTCGCACATTTAGAAGAAGACTCCAGGTCGACCGCAAGTAGTTTTGTGACAGTTTCCGAAGATCCTAGTTTGGAGTGGTGGACCCAATGGCAGACGCTGGTTGGAGTTCCTCCATCATCACCGCTATATAACATAACCGAACAAGCAAATCTGTTGCATAGTGATGACGTACAAGTTCCATCGCAATCCAATGCTGCCGTCATATCGGACGATCACAGGTCCCCCAACGTGAAGGAAGATAAATCATTACCAGGAACGCCGGGACACGTTGTCGAACTGTCATCACCATCGATATCTTCCCGATCGTCATCCTCATCCTCATCAGCCTCGTCGTCTTCATCATCATCCACAAGCCAAACGATGACACCTCATCAGCCAACAGTGTGTAGCAGTCAACCTTCCATCGATGAAGTGTTTATACCCAGTAAGGAGAATAATAGCACACCAAGTACAATCAAATTGCCAGTCACTGAAATCCCAACTGAGTCAACGCCATCGTCCTCGACAGACAATCCCGTGAACAATAACACATTTCTCGAACTGCCAAATTATCCCGAAAACCTACAAAGCCGTATAGAGAAGTTTAAAAACAATTGGAAAAAGGGACACAAACTGAAGCGAATTGTTAAACAAGATGGCAAGCAGTACCGCATAATAATATCAGCAGACGGGGTAGTGAAGGTATCTCTCCGAACTTCTGCAATTGGTCTCTAACATACCTTCCTATTCGACCGAGATATAGTCGAACCAAAGTGCCCATGTCGGAGAAATAAAAGGTTACATAACACCCTAGGGCTTCCTGGCTATTGAAACCCAATAGTAATAGAGAAAGCAAATCAAGGAATCAAAAATCAGAGGGAGGAAGAGATGCCATGTAACGCCCAAAAGTCATGCTTTCGTTTTTGGGGTACATTATTATTGTCCCCTAGTAGAAAGAAGTATACTTAAAATACAACATTGGAACCCCTGGTGGCAAATGGCGGAACTACGCAAAACTGTCAGATTGGGATCAGCTGCTGTCATGAGAAAACAACAATCGTTGTCCAGCCAAAAAGGTATAAAAGGAGACGCATTTCACCCAATCGGGATCAGTCTTCTGTTGATGGCTGGTAAGTCAAGTGTGATTGGGAGGAAGAAAAGGCGCGCAACCTCGGTTGAATTGAGTCTTAGTAAGCCAAACAATAAGCCTTGACTATTTGTGGTGACTGGACTGGACTGAACGCAGGGTCAAGTGAGGGTTGTAGCAATACTCCCTATTCTTCGGGCTGCGTTGACGGCGACTGAACGCAGGGTCAAGTGAGGGCTGTAGCAATACTCCCTATTCTTCGGGCTGCGTTGACGGCGACTGAACGCAGGGTCAAGTGAGGGTTGTAGCAATACTCCCTATTCTTCGGGCTGCGTTGACGGCGACTGAACGCAGGGTCAAGTGAGGGCTGTAGCAATACTCCCTATTCTTCGGGCTGCGTTGACGGCGACTGAACGCAGGGTCAAGTGAGGGTTGTAGCAATACTCCCTATTCTTCGGGCTGCGTTGACGGCGACTGAACGCAGGGTCAAGTGAGGGTTGTAGCAATACTCCCTATTCTTCGGGCTGCGTTGACGGCGACTGAACGCAGGGTCAAGTGAGGGTTGTAGCAATACTCCCTATTCTTCGGGCTGCGTTGACGGCGACTGACGTACTCATCGGGCTGCTGCTGTGCCAAAGCTGCCGCCACCCGATTCGTCGTGCGAGTATTCATCGGGCCGCCGCTGTGCCAAGCTGCCACCACTACTACTCGCCGCTGACGTATTCATCGGGCCGCCGCTGTGCCAAAGCCGCCGCCATCCTATTCGCCGCTCGCCTATTCATCGGGCCGCCGCTGTGCCAAAGCCGCCGCCACCCTATTCGTCGCTCGCCTATTCATCGGGCCGCCGCTGTGCCACAGCCGCCGCCACCCTATTCGTCGCTCGCCTATTCATCGGGCCGCCGCTGTGCCAAAGCCGCCGCCACCCTATTCGTCGCTCGCCTATTCATCGGGCCGCCGCTGTGCCACAGCCGCCGCCACCCTATTCGTCGCTCGCCTATTCATCGGGCCGCCGCTGTGCCAAAGCCGCCGCCACCCTATTCGTCGCTCGCCTATTCATCGGGCCGCCGCTGTGCCAAGCTGCCGCCACTACTACTCGCCGCTGACGTATTCATCGGGCCGCCGCTGTGCCAAAGCCGCCGCCACCCTATTCGTCGCTCGCCTATTCATCGGGCCGCCGCTGTGCCAAGCTGCCGCCACTCTATTCGTCGCTCGCCTATTCATCGGGCCGCCGCTGTGCCAAGCTGCCACCACTGCTACCCGTTTATTAACATGTCGACTGAACTTTGTGATTTAGTGTTCTTCGTAAAAAGTTCTGAACGTGATTTTATTGTGTTTAGTGTAGTGTTTAGTGTTATTTAAGGAAATAAATTTATAACGTTTTAAGAAAATATTTTTGCTTCGCTCTCTCTCTCTCTTTATGTCCTAACAAATAAATTTTTGTGACGACTCTGGCCCCCGCTGAACCTACCCCAGCTTCAAAGTGAAAACACGTCGTCAGAACCACTTTAAAAAGTCTACTACTGCTAGAGAAACTTTGAAGGGTTTTGAATTTACAGAAGATTTTTCGAAGATCTATGGACAAATCCCCTGACTACAGAAAACCTTTAGATATTCCTCTACTAATAGGACACCATTAAAAAATACCTCTTAATTGTATAAGGCTTATAAAAATCTTGTCTCTAGAACCAAACTCCATTCAAGAAATTGTTTTCATTGCACAACATTGTGAATTCCCAAATACATCAGTGCCCACAGGAATTTCTACAACTCTGGAAAATTTTCTGCATTCTAATCCTAGCGGAATAACGATTATCATCAATGCCTCTTGCCAACGTCCTGCATGTCATGTTGCTAAGTTACCGAGTCTAAGAATTTGCAAATATTTGCATTTATCAGAGACAGGATATAGTGCTGCTGGTGGCACAGAGGATGTTGTTCAACGGCAATTGGGGCTGGTGGAAGGCATCATGGTTTTTGCTTTCCTTTTCGATGATTTGCGTTTGATTTAACACAGCAAAATTGTGTTGGCTAGTCAAACATGGTGTAGAAAAAGTAACATTTTGATGTCTCAAAAGCATGATAAATCGATTGGGAATGCAAATTGGTGGAAGGTTATTGGATAAGAGCATGATCTAAACCAATTAAATTAAAAGTGATTTCTATAAAAATGGTTGGAACTCTATATCATTCTTATAATGACAGCAATACTAATATTTTGAAAATTCCCATCTTTATATAACAGGCTCATTTCACTCGTGCCGTAACGATTATATAACCTTAACCACAGATATCAGCGCTATCTCGTCTTCCAATAACAAATTATGTACTATTTAGTACTTTTTGTACAATTTACTACTTTTTGTACAATTATATTCCGAAAACACCTCCATAACTCAATCCAATTTTCGAGCAGAGGTCGCAATATCGAATTTCGGGATACCAGCTCTATCACCACGCACAATATATAATTTAGTACCCCTTATTTCTTTTTCGTACAATGATAGTTCACATTTTCAAAACAATTTCCATATCTCAACCTCAGATACCAACAGTGACCTTAATTTAAAATTTCAGGATTTTAGTTCTTTAGTTCCTCCCATTATAAATTTAGTACAATTTTAGTTCGCATATTCAAAACCACCTCCATATCATAACCACAGACACTAACCTCAATAACAGTGACCTCAATATCGTATTTCTGAATTTCAGCCCTTCCCCTTCACCTAATACCAAATTAAAACTATTTCGTACTTTATTGTACACATTTCCAAAACCATCTCCATGACTCAATCCCAGTTACCTACATAGACCTCAGTATCAAATTCTGGGATTCTAGCTCTATCCCTTTACACAACACCCAATTTAGTACCACTTAGTACTTTTCGATAAATTACAGTACACATTTCCAAAACCACCTCCATATGTTAACCACAGACACCAACAGGTATATCCACAGCAAATTTTAGGACTTCAGCGCCATTCCTTCACCCAATACGAAATTTAGTACTTTTCGTACAATACCCACATACAGTACAAATCTCAATTTCAGGTACTAATAGTTCTCTAAACATCAAAATTTAGAATTTTGTCTCTATCTCTTCAAATTTAGTACTACTAAGTACTTTTCGAACAATTATAGTACACATTTCCAAAACCACCTCCATATCTTAACCACAGACACCAATCTTGACATCTAAGATTCCAGCTCTATTTCTTCACCCAATAGCGAGTTTAGTGTTATTTAGTACTTTTCGAACAATTATAGTACGCTTTTGCAAAACCACCTCCATATTTTAATTCCAGGTAGGAAAAATACCTCAATATCAAATTTGAGGATTCCAGTTCCGTCCCCTTATCCAATATCCAATTTAGTAGAATTTAGTACTTTTCGTCGAACTATAGGACTCATTTCCAAACCACAGCCAAATATTTTTTATTGCAGGCACCAACAGTGACATCTTTATCAAATTTCAGCTCTATTCCTACACCCACTACCAAATTTTGTACTATTAAGTACTTTTCCTACAATTATAGTACACATTTCCCAAAGCAAACCCATATGTCCAGGCTACACATGAACAGCGAATATAATAGCAAAATTCAGATTCCAAGCACAATCTGTGCACCCAATACCAAATGTAGTACTATTTAGTAATTTTCGTACAATTACAGTACGCATTTTCGAAACCTCCTCCATATCTCAATCTCAGATACCAACAGAGACCTCAATATCCAATTTCTGGATTCCAGCTCTATTCATTCACCCAATACCAAATTTTATACAATTTTGTACTTTCCGTACATGTATAGGACGCATTTCCAAATCACTGCTAAATCTCAAACACAGATACCATCTCTATCCCTTCAGCCATTCAGTACTTTTTGCACAGTTTCTGTAAAGATTTGCGAAACCTTTACCAGTTTCTGTAAAGATTTGCGAAACCTGTCCATGTCCAAATTCAATCGGTTAATGTTTTTTTGGCTACAATTGGTAATTAACTGCCATTTGCTAGCGCTATATAAGCCCACTATTGAGTATAGCCCCATATAGCGGTAAATTCGGACGTAAGGCGTTTTTCAGATCTAAATCATATATTCCAAACGTAGTGACTGTGATTAGATATTTTGGTATATTAATTGATAACACACCACACCGCAAATATCATTGTCATCATTTTGAATTTTTTGGTTTATTTTTCGACTGAGGGCTAACAGTTGATAATTATGTTCGCATTGGATTGGAAGACTATCTCACAAAAATGTTTAGCATTTTATCAGGTTTTTAGATATTAGCCGTACCCATAGTTGATGTATTTGCTGCCAACCGATTTGACTTTTTATACTCTCAGCCATGTGGCTACAGAGGGTATATATCATTTAATACAGCCAAAACTTGTCCCATCGAAATAACGATTTTAGACCCTAGACCAGTTCCGATCGATCAAGTGATGCCCGTCAATCTGTCTGTCTGCTGGCTGGTGCTTACTATAAGGCTCGAGGGGAGTATCCGATTTGGTCCAAAATGGTTACATCGTAATACTTTTAGTAAAGTTAGACTGAGTTCGTAACTAAGTGTGAAATATAAGTCCGATTACCTTGGAATTTTGCACATCCCAATATTTCTATCAACACAAGATCTGCTGTAAAT